GTACATTCGGGTTGGCAGCCCTCTTGTCCTATAGCTGCTGTTTTTGCTCGATTGTTCGCGGCTGCTTATTCGATATATTCGCAGCTAACCGCCACACGGACGGCCGTTCCTCGATCCACAACCTGAGGACGCGCCAGATGGCTCCGAGCATTGAATAAATACCTGAAAAAAATCGCAAAAACACTATTGTAAAAAAGAAAGGGGTTCACATCCTGGGACACTTCAAAAAGGCAATAAAACAACTTACCTTGAGAAAAAGTAGAAAGTACGCTGAAAATTAGGGAGAAAATGGCCAAATTAGGCCGGAAACAGCTGATCGCCGCGGTCGTGACGCGCTGCAGCCGCGTCGAGACTGCCTAATCAAGTGCCCGGATGACGATTGTAACAAATGGTGCAGACGTGATGAACATTAGGCTTCCAAAAGCCTCTAAATTCGTTGCTGCTTCACTTTCAGACGTCAAATGCGCTACAATTCCACAGCTACGGACCCTCTCCTGAGCTAAGGAAAGAAACCGGTAACATTCATAGTCAATTGCCCCAACCTCTTCCAAACCAGACCACTCTTTTTCGGTTTTTTCTGAAGGTATATTTGACCATAGGTTTGCTCTTGAAGACAGTTTGAATTCTGAACACGAATATCGCATTCGCATTCTGCTTGTTTTATTTGGGAGCCGTTCCTCCTATCCTTCTCATCATTGACCTCCTTTGGGATTCCTCGTGGGAACGCTTTTATTCTCTCGCTATAACCATTGGACTCCTCCTGTTCCTTCAACCAATCTCTCTGCTCTCAGTTAGGATATCGCAGCGCTATCCACTACATAAAGACTGACCCTGCGCTTATGAGCTCCAGTCAGCGCTCAAGTGCAACCTATACCGTAAAGAACTCGTATCAGACGTGGTCCGAATGCCACACCTACGGACTTACCCACTTGGAAGAGATCCACCATGCAGGCGATCGCACGTATCTTCACAAGCAGCCTACGATTATTCGACATGCTGGCGAAACAAGGCGCGGTCCGCAGTAGGAGGTGATGTACCACTTTCGCAACTTGGAAGTGACTGAATGGTTGCCACAGCTCTGCCATCACAAGAGATCTCCATTTTCGTCAGCAATCTCCTTCTTTCCCATTCCTCCTATAGCTACATAGCGGTGGATCTGTGGACATTCGTGTGCTCATTCTTCATCTCGTAGCCCTTCCCTCTGTTCTACGCCCAGTGTTCCTCCTCTATATACTCGTTTTATCCTTGGGACTGACAGGAGTTTCATATACAGCGTTTTGATGATTCTTCTGCTCTTCTCCGTCGTTGTTGAGTCATTTACTACTTTGATATCGGTATATGAACCGCACTATCCTTAATGGTTTCCGCTACGGGTGCTGGAACAGCAGTGGGCTGGGCTGGGTATAGTCCCAGTCTGTTTTCTACCGGTTGTTCAGAGGCAAGTGGTACGATAAATACCAGATGTGTGGGATTGATACGCTCAGCAGGGAAGATCGGTGCTCCGCAGCAGGCGCTGCCCTGGCACTTTTCCTGAGGACTGGCTACCCTTGACTTATAAGCGCGCCGTACAGCTATCAAGCCTGCCCAAGCCTACCGACCCGTCCGTCCCTAAATGTCCACCCGGTGCTGTTGCTCGTATCGCTTCATTTGAGATGTACAATACGACATGAAGGGACTGATATGAAACCCCTGCGGTGCTGCATGGGCACATAGCATAGCATGGCATATGAGCATATATAGTTAGTTCATTGCTGACGGTTATGCGTGTTCGTGCGGCTGCGTTTGGCGCGGTGCCAAGTGCAGCGAAGTAGAGCGTATGCAGCCGTATCTACCATAACCGCTACTTTCACGATGCCAACGGGGAACTCGTCCAGAATTGCTCCCTAAGTCGTGTAGAACAGAAGGCTTCTCTGGGTTCTGACCATTTCACTTCGTTTTTTCCCCACTTCCCACTATTTGATACCCCTGCTACCATTTGAGAAAAAGTACTAAATTATCGTGCCTTATGCCTTTAAAAGGGCAAGCGACGACAACTGGTGCAAAAGCGCTGGTGCCCATGGTGTTCATGCCCCCGTCTGCAGCTGATTCTGCTCACTACCTGAACACAGCCAAGTATCTGCAAGACTCGCGGCAAAAGCGTGCATCGTGAGATGAATTGGGGTCCCTTTAGCAAAGCCGTGTGCGACAATTTTACTCAAAACACTGTTTTTTACTGGGCAGGGGGCCAGAGGTGGTTTGACTTGATCCAACTATCATTTTCTTTTATAAATACTTACATCTGAACATATCCACTATAGTAGGAATATCCATTGATTCTCTTCCCAAAAGAAGATCATTGTAAAGACGCTCCATTGTTTGTTTATCGAGGAGCGATAAAGATTTGTGGGTCAAGTTCCTGTGCCACTTCATGACGACCAACCGTTAGACACGAAAAAACGCTAAATGACAAGGGGTATCAGCTCCAGCGGAATGGCCGTTCTGTTTTCACTTTTGATATGGTATCGCGCACCACTAGATAACAAACAAGGTCGATCTTGCTTGCACACACGCGTAAAATCAATACTTATTCCTAAGCGTCGGAGGGGACGGTAGCTGCGATCATGACTATCGTATTGACAGTCTTATATGTTAAACTGTACCATGTTAGGAATGAAATACGACGGCGATCACTGGTGAATATGAAAGACGTGAGAGAAAATCAACGAGTGAGACAACCAAGTGAAATTACTGAAGAAGCTGAAGACGACCCTAACAATAACACTGCATTGGTGAGCGTTTTTTTTCTTGATTTTTACACATGCGGAACGAGAGGAACAGAATTGCACAATATGTAGCAGTAGTGTTGCTGTGTTTCAGGGCAAGAAACTCCTTTCACGACCGTCTACCTCAAGAAGTGTATCGCCAGCACATTTCGCATTTCGTGATTGCCGGGAGTCTTCGGAGCTGCAGACCATGACATATCCGAACACCAGTGCATAGAGCGTCCTTTCAGTGGAGCCAAACTCCGTCAGAGAATCAAATGAGGTCAGTGAGATGTCCATGCTGGTTCCATAGCAATGATAAGGCAAAGGGCAGATGAATCGACAAGGCTTCCTATTGAAGTCACCCGCTTCAACATGAAGCCCACTGCAAATGGTAGCGACCAGCTAGCAGATTGATTAGGATCGGAGCAGCTGGTGAAACGCGGAGCCAGCCCTTTTTCCAGTGGTTGACAGGCAAGCATCAAATAATTGCTGAACACAGGTGGGCCACGTCTTTTCGGGATATTGGTCTCAATAATTGGTTATAGGTGTGTCTCTCTCCCCCGCCTAATGGAAGCTCTAGTTCTGGGTTGTGTAAGAGCAGGGCGTTATTAGAGAAAACGGCGGAATCGCTTCGAGTCCCTAATTAGCGAATGGCAGAGGTGTTATAAGCAGGGTACAGCATCGTGATGTGGGAAATGTTGGTGTCAGTACGACTCCCCCCCCCCTTCCCCAACACTTACTCCAGTTTACCCAAAATTTTCGAGCGGGGGAAGGGGGTATATAGTGCACATGGAACACATGAAATGGGAAAAATCACGAAAAGACAACAACCGAACATACGCCCTTCCCCCTCCCCAGCGGAAGCAAAAAAGTACGACCTCTCAATGTGTTTCACACAACGATGCTGTACCCTGGTTATAAGTTAGTTGGTCCATAGTGTTGAGTCGCGCCAGAAAGATGAATGAGGGAGCTCCCTATTCAGTCCCTGGTTGAGGATCACAAAATGAGTTCACCAGGCTCGTGTCGTACACCAGGAAGGACGAACAGAGAGGGTAGGAACTGCTCTCAGAGCCCAGACTATCTCGAAAACTTCATAGATACGATGCAATTCTCGTCTTTCAGTACAATTGCTGAAGAACCGAATACTACGTCGTTCGCCACAGGCAGAAGCCAACATGAAGCCTGGTTGCGGAGAAAACTCGAAGAGGAACGAAAGAGAAAACAAAAGGAAAAGGAGTTGGCAATGAAAAAGGAAGAGGTATGTCAAGGGCATACCAAGTTTTGCCCAGTGGTGGCTCTAGTGGAGTGTCCGTGACTGACTTCGCCGATAGTGTGAGGCCAACACAGTAGTATATACAAGCATTCAGGAAGAGAAGGAAAGGCGAGAGCAAGCAAAGAAACTCTTTGAAAGGTGGAAAAGTGAGCGAGACGAGAAGGCACGCGAAGAGAGGCGGCGGCAGCGAGCGAAGGAGAAGGAGTTGCGTAGAAAAGAAGAGGAACGAAAGAAAGAGAAGAAAGTTGAAGCTGAGAAGGTTAGTATATCAGTTCTTGTTGTTTCTTTTGGAAGAAAAAGATCACTTGAGTTTTCAAATTATGGCACTTCTAGACGTTTGAGGCATGGAAACGGTCACATTCGGCGTCGAGGAGGACTTCTCTTTCAGCTGCTGAGCGAGAGAAGCAACGGCAAAAAGAAGAGGCACGAAAAGAGGCCGAGAAGGCGTACGAAGCTTGGTGAGAGTTACTTTCATCTGCTGCTAGGTTGACTCTGGTCTTGTTCCTTAGAAACGTGCAGGTGTCACTCAACTCAAAACGACTAATGATCATTCCCTCGCCTTGCAATGTACGAATTTTCCTTTTTGTACTAGAGATGTCCTTTTGGCGCCCTTCGGCGACGGGGGGCACTGTGCCACTTTCGCTTCGTCCCCGATTTGTCGACCCATCTAGAGAGCCTTGCGTTGACAGGTTTCACGATGAGCTGGCTCTAGTTCACAGGAGTTCACAGGTTTCATCAGGTAAAGTATTTGAACCGGAACTAGTGGAGCAAAAGTTCAATATGCCCCCTCCCGTCGCCGAACCGTCCTTTTCTAGGCTTGATCTGAAATTTGAAGTCAAGTCCGCTGTTTTAATTTTGGGAAATGGGGAAATGCTACAATGGAGAATTACACTTCTGGAGAACTAGTAGATAGAGAAATGGAATCGAGCATAGTGCCACGAATGGACTCAAGCATAGTAGGTGCCATTTAAGAGTGAAAATACTGGAGAGACAGTCAACCTTTTGATCTTCAGTGACCAGTAGTGAGAAGTGCCCAAGGTGGAAGGTCCATGGAAGCGTGAGAAGGGCTAGAGCTTTCCGTCGTTGATCAATCCTTTCCCAGAACGTGACACTCATTCTTCTGCTCCATTCAGAATGGCGGGGGATTCTGAGTGCAAAACAACCCATGCAATCGCTTGCAGAAGCTCAACGTCATGTTTTTATCCTCTCAAATGAGTCCGATACCAATAAGCGGCCGAAAGTCGCTGGAATGAAAACTTTGGTAGGCTCTATGTAACTGTTGTCAACCCGAAGTTCCAGCGCAAAACTACGCTTGGGAAGCGGACTTATTTTTTGGTAAGCCATCTTTTCCTTAGTGAGTGCTTGAAAATCCGAGGACCAGGGATATCAGTATCACTCCACCGCGCTACTGCATAAACTCAGAGGTCCTCACTGCTGCACGTGGACGCAAGCAGCACTTTTGCTAGAAAAGAATCAGGAAAACTGTTGTGTTAGGCATCCGCACGCTCATGTGCAGGGTTCGAGAGTACGCTTCCCCACTCGTACACGGACGGCTCTCGCTCTGATTTTTGAGCAGTTTGATATCAAGGCGGAAGCGGGCTTGTGGCAAGTGGCCCTCTTACACTCACTCATTTCGGAGATCAAATCCCGTACAGGCTCAGGCCCAGACCAATTGAGCCCTCTACTTTTCGATGCCAGTTAGTTAGTGTCGGACTAACCTGGTCAATAGAAACAATGATACGAACATTGACTCACTCCCTCAAGTCAATTGTGTAAGACATCGCACTCAGTGAACCTTCTATGACTCCGAGTGAAGCAAAATGCGTGGCGTACCCTAAAATGCGGATTGATCAGCTGCGGAAGCTTCTCCTGCCTCACTCAGTTTCCTCCTTAACGGTTCACTTTCTGTGGATGGTATGGGCGAAATCGATTGAACAAGTACCCTTTCCTCATTAACTTGTTCTCCTTCCTAGAAGCTTTAGGGTGATGTGCCCGCCAACAAGATGGGCGCATTCTCAGTAGAAGCTACTAACCCATATGTTCTGTGAGAAATGTGCCTCCAACTATCTAAGCAGTAGTGAGTCTGAGCTCTGTTGCTCTGTTAACAAGGTTTATCTGTTGTTGAGGTGGCTTCTCGAACTAGAACTTGGATTGCGTTATTTTCAGGAAGCGCAACAAGGACGCTGCTGAACAAGCCGAGCGACGTAGAGCTGCCGAAAAAGAAAGCGCAGCGAAAAAACGTCTTCGAAGAGGAACGAGAGTATCGTGAGCTGTTAGCCAGACAGACCTACGAGACCTGGCTAGAAATCAAGGTCTGTTGGGTATAAATCAATTTGAAATATTGAAAATTGGTGAGTTTCTCGTTGAGGCATAACTCGCCAGGAAGCCTTCGCGAGCCTAGAACTCCAGTCTCCCAGTCGCTGAGAGACTCGACCGCTTGCAAGCTTGAAGTGACTGGAAGGCTGGGGACACATCGTTTGTTCCTCCCTATGCTCTCAGTGAGAACTAACCATAAGCGGCGCAGTTCGGCGACGGGGGAGGGGAATTTTGCACTTTAGCTGCCCCACTAGTTACGGTTTACTAGTTTCACAGTGGTGAAACCTGTGAACTCTTGTGAAGCTG